AGTTGCGAAGGCATTGAAATGAAAATTGGGAACAATTGTAGACAGATTAATATGTGTCCTCAATACTTTATAGTTATCAGTGCCCCAAAGTAAGGAACTGAACCTTAAACGTCTCTTTCTATTTTACTATTTCTTACCTTTCCTTTGTCTTTAAAATATATTCCTCAAATAATGCTCTAAATTTACTACCTACATTTTTATTCCCTTTGAACAAACGCTGCTGATTTTGAAAGGCTATTTATGTGTGTATATCATCTTCTCCCTTTGTTTTTCATGTCAGTCCATGTACAGAGGATCACCGGTTAGTACAAATTTTAGAATCTTTAACTCCTGACTTTTATAGGTAAAAGAGAACATAAGTTTCATGCTATTTGGTAGCAAACTTCAAAGTAAGTGCATCTTCTTAAACTATTTATCACAGCTTCTTTTAAGTTCCAGTCAACTTCTAAATGTAAAGAATGACCCTTTTTTTTTTTTTTTCCTGTCTGGCATTTTGTTGGTAATTCTTTGCATGATGCCACGTTTTTTCAACTTAAACAAGTTTTTGAAATTCATTTGATAGTAATTTTTATTGTGTGCACCTAATGAATGCTCTTGAAATTTCCACTGAAACCATGTGCCTGTTTGTTTTTCTGGCTCACATTACTTACTTGTGTGTGTTAATATATAGGCATGACCGAGTTTTATTGCTGTCTAATGAAGTGCTCATTATTGCGTACTTAAACAAGCTATAATTTTCTAGTACATTACTAGTACAGTTTTTCTTTTTAAACAGATTAAATTAGTCAACATTAACTCTACCGATATCGCTGATGGCCGACCCTCAATAGTTCTTGGACTGATGTGGACCATTATTTTATATTTCCAGGTATTGTGCTACAGTTCCCTTTTAAGTTGTATAATGTCATGGAGGGAGGTCATAGCAGATGTTTAATGATGCTCTGTCATTTGTCATGCCTCTGGGGTTGATCTTCAAGCTGGCAGGCATGTGACTTTCACAGATACATTGTTTTTTGGAAGCAGAATTTCCTCTTCTTCCCTGTAAAGGTGTTATAGATAAAACTCCCCCAAAGAACTCTGGCAAAGGCACCCACTCTGAAAAGTGGGCAGAACACAGTGAAGATGAAATGTTGGTACAGGAAGTTCAGAAAATTTATCTTTGTTATCTGGAAAGGACCAGTTCTATGCTCCCATTAGATGTTAGGGGGAGAAGTTAACTTGCCATTCTGTTCACAATTGTAGCTCTAGCCCTTAGATTTTTTTTTTTTTTTAATTGACTTTATTTTTTAGAGCAGGTTTAAGTTCACAGCAAAATTGAGTGGACGGTACAGAGATTTCCCATACACCCCCTGCACCTACACACGCATAGCTTCCCCATAATGCCCCCTCAGAGCGGCATATTTGTTACAATTAATGAACCTGTATTGACACATCATTGTCAAAGTCCATAGTTTACATTGGGCGTCACTTTTGGTGTTGTACATTCTATGAGCTTAGATAACTATTAGATTTTACTTATTTGTTCTTGTATTTAACAAGTTTTAGATACAGGGAGACATACAAAGAGTAGAGTAGAACATCAGTCCTGCCATTTAAGAGCTTACTTTTTGCCAGCTGTGTTAAGATAAACCATTTTTAGTTGGAAAAGTGAAACATCTGAGGGAAGAACAAAGATAATTCTTGTATTTCTGTCGACTGTGAACGTACAGATCGAAGAGTTGACCAGCAACCTGCCACAGCTGCAGTCCTTGTCCAGCAGCACGTCCTCCGTGGACAGCACGGTCAGCTCGGAGACTGCCAGCCCCCCGAGTAAGCGCAAAGTGGCCACCAAGATCCAGGGAAATGCTAAGAAGGCTTTGTTAAAGTGGGTTCAATACACAGCAGCCAAGTAAGTACCAAGAGTTTGGTTAAATTTGAAACTCTTGAATAGTTTGGGTTATCGATTTATTACTGAGCACCTCTTCCAATGATGGCAAAATTTGAGGAGACATTTCAATGAATGGCTTTGCTTCACGGTCTTGTTCCACTCTTTTCTTGAATTAAAATATAAACACACATTGTCACTAATGCTCTAGAAGATACTGCCATAAAAGTAATTCCTTCTTCATTCCTGCAATTGGGCCTGATTAAGTTGTTTAATCCCTACACTTTTATTAGCATGAGTGCTAATTCTATTTGTTACTGTTTGGACTTTTTTTTCCTATTAAATAATCTTTCCATAAATAAATTGAAAGTTTAAACTTAATTATCTCTTCATAAGACTATTGAGTTCTGTTTAATAATAATGTGAATTAAGTTCCACATTCTGAAATAATTATATTTGTTTTTATTTCCTGAGACTTTCTAGCAATTTTATTTTTTATTTTTTTCTTTGATCTCATCTTTTTTCTGGAATGTAAGTTCCTTTGTCAACCCCAGCTTTATGGACAGATAATTTTCTCTTAGTTTGTTTCCTTCTAGGTATGATAAATTTGCATGCGTGTACATTTATGTGATAATGCTGGATAGGAAAGTACTACTCACAGGAAGTATCTTTTCATAGCAATTTCAATAGAGTTTTCAATTGATCCTACCAGTATTTTATGGAGAAATGTGGTCAATGGTAAGATCTCTTCATATAGAATTTGTGCTTTTGTATAATTTTCATAAATGGTATGTAAAATTAATTCTCTTTCTGTTATTTTGCATTCCTTAATCTAATCTGAATCATATTCTCTACTTCTGGAAAACAGATGTAAACAAATACTTATTGTTATAAAATATTCAGGTGCTAAACATAGGGAATTCTATTTTTAAAGTGTTTGAAGAGCAAAAATAAGGAGAGAAAAAAGAAACATAAAGAGATATAATTAGTGTTTTTTATATAGTTTTGTTTAATTTTTAAAACGTATTGGTGGCTTTCTAATTTGGGGCATATTTTTATGATTCAAGTTGCAGTTAAAAATATTTCTGAGAGCAAACTGTAATAGAAATGAAATAAAAAGCCGTTTTCACATTGCTGGCGTACTGTTTGCATCCCTCTGCATGGGTGTTTCTTGTCTCTTGCGGTTTAAGTGGGTGAGGAGGAGAAGCGTGTGGGACAAGAGGAATCTGGTGACCACATGCTAGGACACTTGTCTTGATGCTGTTACAGTAAAACTTTGTAATAATGTCGATTGTTCCACACAGCAGTAAACTAACCAAAAATTAATTGATTTTCACTTCATATAGCAGCTTGAAGTAAACTCAGATTTAATGCCGGAGGAGTTTTCCTGTAGTAGTTTTGTTTTACACAGGGTGTGACAGGTTTCAAAGATGTGCAAGGGTCTAATGATAACTAAAAGTCATTTCTGCAACTTGTACACTTGTAACATCAGTGGAAGTTGTATTTTACTTATCTGGATAAATGTCCACATTCATGGACCCAAGGGTTCTTTCACTCATCAGCATATCGGTCAAGTCCATTTATTTTACAGCTGTGTAAGATGCAGAGATTTCGGGAGACGTCTGTTCTCTGCCACAAACATTCTGGAATGAACACATGATACTATTTTGCTGCTGAATTGTTGATAAATTTTCTAAAAGCTGCTTTTCACATTTTCCCAGTCTGCATTTTTCAAGCAACCTCTTACCTGACGTGGATAAAGGATTTTAGAATCTGTACCTACTTTAGTATATGACATGTTTGCAAATTGATAATCTGAGATTCTGTAGTCTGAAGGTTTATTGGTCTGAAGATGGCGAGAAAGGATAAAACATCCAGTAAACACCAGACAAATTGTCAGAGTCTATTTACAGTTTTCATATAAAATTTCTAAATATTTGATAAGTAAATAAAAAAAACTGTTTCAGCAGCACAAGATAGTTAAGCTCTCTTGCCTATTTCTTTCTGTCTTTTTTTTTTCTTTTCTTTTCTTTTTTTTACCAATTTCATTATTATGGGTACATACTCTCAGAAATGAAAGCATTCAGTTATAGCATATCTGACATTTGCATACCTTGTTTTCAAATGTCTAAGAACAATTGTATTTTAGGACAAAAATTAACAAGGTAACGAGACAAGTGAAGATATGTATATCATATCCATTCAAAATAACTTAAAGTAAATATGTATTAGAGGTCAGAAATGCCTATAAGTGGGACATACTTCATCATTTCTTTAAGTGATATATCTAAGTTTCTATAAGTTTGTATCCCTTTTTTAAGTGATGTCTCTAAGTTTTCTTTGGTTTTTGTATCTAAGATTCTTAAATGAAAGGTTTAGGCTAAAACTAAAACTTTGTTTAAGTACTTTGATCTAATACAAAACACTATCGGAGTGTGTGTGTGTGAATATTCGACAAATATAGAAGAAGAAAATGTACTAAAATGTTTAAATTATTCCAATATAATAGGTATTTAAGGAAACATTGTATATATTTAATTTTGAAAATGTCTAAAAATAAAAAGTTCAAGAAAATCAGAAAATATGTAATTACATGATGACTATTTATAAGCTAATTATTTATTTACACTTTACCTATTTTGGTTAAAAATAATTTAAGATGGCTTAAGAGATTGCATACAAAAACATTTTTAAATGAGGAAATGTGGACAAAGGGAAAATGTAGGTAGAAAAGTAAGATGAAGCCAGAGGCAAATGTACGAATTAATGGATAACAAGCACATACTGCTCAATGTGGGTAGATATTGGTCAGTTTGTCAAACACTGGCTGAAAAAAATTATATCTGTACTACGAAAGACAGAAACTCTAAGAGAAGATTCAAGGTTACTTTACAAATACTGGAGTCTTACAAAACTGTTCTTTAAATATTTATTCATGAAGCTAGTGATTAGATTCAATGATGCTATTTTTAGGACTATATATTTTATGCAAACTGAATATACATTGGTAAAACATACTATAAAGTGAATCTTAAGTTTACTGAGATAAAATTTAAGAGCACTTACCAACTTTCTATATTGATCATTTTATTAGTCATATATATTATATCTTACAGTTCACGGAGATTTTGAGAATATAGGGTAAAAAAGAACTGAGTGATGTTATTTCTGCTTTACTTAGAAACAACTGTAGTGAGACTAATTTTTTAATTATCTACTGACTGTTACTTAATTAATCGATCACCTTTAATGACTCTAAACTTGAGAGATATAACTGTTGCTCAAATATCTTTACCCTTTTTGGAACTGCCTTTTTCTACAGGTTTCATGTAGAAAAAACAACTCATTGTAAGCTTACTTCACTTCTGTTTTCAACGACAAAGTATGACTACTAACTTGAATCACTTTTTTAATTATCATAACTGGCTTTGAATCAATTAAATCTACCACTAAAGAACAAATACTTGCCACCAAGGCATTGCCCTCAAAGGAATTCAAAAAAAATTTTAAAAAAAGAGTTTAAGAAAACAATTTGATCTGTTGGGTAATGGGAATCATTTGACTCTTTTATGACTAATGCACAGATATGACTGCCTCCATCTGCATTTGTTCATTCTAATGCATTTGATATAATTCAGACCCATTTGACAATGTCTATTGTAACCTATGCATATATAACAATTTACTAATCATTATCATTAGAAATGTTAGATGCTTTTTTCAAAAAATATACAATGATGAATTATTATCATTTTTGGTATTTTTCTAATCTTACCTTTTTTTTAAATTTTGCCAGACATTTTTCTCTAAATTGATTTCTTTTAAAAATGTACTTTAAATTGAGTATCTCGATTACTGAAAAATCTAATATAGAAAACTTTAAGTATGGAACCAGAATTTCTACATCTTATCTTCTTACCTTCTAAAAATATTGTTTTGCTTACATTTTCTCAAAACCGCTTAACTGGTATAGCTCACTGTACATCATTCCTTGCTGAACAAGGTCAGATTCTGCCTGAGGCCTTCAGGAAAATGCATATTATCTATTCAGAATGTGACATTATTTTATTTATTTATTTTTTTTATCACATGAAGGCAGACTGGAATGTAAGTAAAAGACTTTGGGCGGAGTTGGAGAAGTGGGGTTGCCTTTCATTCAGTCATCCACGCTATCCGACCAGAACTAGTGGACTTGGAGAGGGTCAAAGGAAGATCTAACCGAGAAAACCTGGAGGAAGCCTTCACTATTGCTGAGACAGAACTGGGGATCCCCAGGTTGCTAGATCCTGAAGGTACGTTGACTACTTGTTGGCTCAGCTCATCAGGTTTGTATCTCACACCCGGAAATTACAGGTGACTTTCAAGACTCTATTTGAGGCCAGAAAACTTGAGGAAAGCAAAAAGAAATAGTACCTTCCTGCATTGATATTTTCTTAAACTATTATTTGCTGCTAAATTCAGGAGCAAAGTGCTCTGAACAGCACTCTGACATTGGAGGTTCAGCTAGGGGAATTGTACTTACTCATTATATTTATGGGTGGAATGAAAATTTTAGAAGCATGTGTTTGGGGGCGGAGGGGTGTCACACAATAAAGGAATTACTCTGTTACTATAACTCCAAAGAATCTGGAAGAAATAAAAGATTATTAGTAACTTAAGATCATATCTTTAAAAGGTCAGTCATTAAATATTTAGAAATAACAGCAATCATCCAGTGTTTTGGTGCCTGCTAATTGAGAAAACTACACAAATGACTGACTAATATTTTTCATCCCATTGTTTGGTACATTTTTATAAGACTGCGAATTTAAGATTTTTCTGGAAATGGAGTTAACTCTTTCAAGCCTTCAAAAGATAATTTTGACATTTTTAATCATAAAAAAATGAGTAAGTTGTTTGTTATGTTGAAATAAAAGGGTACAAGTAAACTTTCCAAATGTCATGGAAGTTTTTTCTTTTGGTTGGCAATTATGGAAATTTTTATTGACAAATGCAGAAATATGTACACAGTGAAAGTAAGTTATTTTTAAAGGTGAGATTTCAGAATGAACATTTCTAGCTCTAAAACAATGTCACTAAGTGGAGACACTGTGTTTTCAAAAGTAAGCCTAAGAGACCTACAGGGGTCTGGTTAGTTTCGTCTGAGGTCGGGGAGCAGCCTCGTGATCCCTAGCCTTTTAGGAACATGCTTTGGGCCCCTCAATTCACTAGGAGAGCCAAGGCTTCAAGGCTTCCCACTTTGTTTCTGCACATGAAGACCCGATAGTATCCAGTACACTGACTCAGCTCAAGGGGACAGCCACATGTCTATCTGAACCCTCAACTTCAGAGCATTCACCAGAGCTGAAACTTTTCCTAGACGAGGTGAGATGAGAGTATAAAAGTTTCCTTCATATCCACTAGACAAGAGGACCTTAATATTTTCTTAGATGATCAGAAAATGAGATTGCCCAAATCCCAGGCTATCCCAAGTATAAGGTGATCCTTTATTTTCCTAATGAGAACTTCCCTATCAAAAAGTTATGTAGTCAACTTGAATGTATAAACTTTTAGGGATACAGATTAAATAGACCAAAATCTATTATAATAATTATTTTGTCATTTGTTATGCATATACTTAAAAGCATGCACTGTGTTTAAATCATGTATTAAATGTTGCTTTTCTTTCCATTTTCACATTTCATAAAAATTTTACTCATTCTTCACATGTGTCTTCCATATTGGTGATCTTGTCATTTTTAAAATCACCTTTGAGTCATCTGACAAATTCCAGAGTACATTATGTTTTTTTCCTTTTAAGTCGTTTGAGTTGCTGTACTTTTTAGATCCTACATCGATAGTCCTTAGAAATGAAATCTTAAAGCACAAGGAGCATTACAAAATAGTAAGGTAGTTATATATTTTGCTATTTTTTTGTTTGTTCTATTTTATTCTTTGCTCTATAGGTACATATTTTATATTGGTAGTCCCCAAAATGTAATCACTTTGTCATTGTCTTTAAAAGGGGTATTTAAAAGACTTTTTTGCTTTTTTTGACTCATTACCATTTAATACTTTTTATTTATATAGTCTTATACCCATGTAATTATTATATTTGTATAAATTTCTTTGCCTGATTTTATTAGGTAAACATTCATAAACTTCAAATGACAATGATCCAAATCTTGTCAGACTCTGTCTCTTTCTAAAAGTACTTGTTGTACAAAATACAGTAATTTAGAGAGAATGTTCCATAATGGAGAGGATTTCTAAGGAATTGAACATAAGGCATCTTCCTCTTTTCTAAAGCAGAATTTGTGGGGGTTGAGGGTTATTTACATTTGGCTATATGTAGTTATCCAAGCTATATAGTCACTTATCATTCAGTTCCAAACCTGTGTTTTAAATACTACCCCAATTCTGGAATTTATATATTATTTGTGTCTTACTAACTAGACAGAATGTCTGCATAACCATATAGTATCTCAGATTTCTAATCACTTAATGTGGAGATTTAAATGACACAAGTACTACTTCCCTAAAAGCTCTGAGTTAAAACGTGTCATCTTTATGAATCATCAAATTTCCACCTTGTATCATCCAGGCTATACTTGTTTCCCCTTTTCCTCTCACCAAATTTCTAAATATTAATTCTATTTTTCTTCTGCATTTAGGACAGGTTTTTTTTTTTTTTTTTTTTGGTATATTAGCTAGATTTCAAAGTTTGTATTATTATAATCTAATTAGTGGTAGTTAGTTAATGCATGTTTGGTTTGGGTTTTCCAGATGTCGATGTGGATAAACCAGATGAGAAGTCTATTATGACCTATGTAGCCCAGTTTCTGAAACATTATCCTGACATTCACAACACAAGCACTGATATGCAAGAGACCGATGTAAGTATTTGTTTTTCTTCAAGTGTTGACAGTACACCCAATGATGATGACTTTGGTTTTTAAGCATGCTATTTTCAAAATATTAAATTGCAATGCATTTTCATATAACAACTGAGTAAAAGTAAGTACCACCAACCGGGGAGGTGATTATAGGAAAAGACTTCTCTGATTTGAATGTTGGATATGACAGAGATAATATTACTAATAATAAATGCTGGATATATAATACTGATGAATTAAAAATGAAGAAAGATAGCAGTGTCGGGAAACTCCATTTTAGTATTTTGAAGACTGAAATAATTTTATATCCATCATGTCATTAGCACATCTACATTTTTAACCCCCTTGTTCTGCTAGATCTGATGAAATCTATTTTTGACTATTAGATTTTATTAGATAAGTTGCTACTCACAGCAAACATATGAAAGTATGGCAAACTTGTAAAAGTTCTCATTATTCACTATGGTTAGATTTTTAAGCCTTTAATTGTTTAAATAACATTTATACTTTTTGTATTGCTCAAATAACATTGTTCATTGTCATAAAGAAAAACATAACCTCGGGAAAAAAAGAAATTTTTTTTCTCTATTTGACCTTTTAGAGAAAAACTATTCTAGAAAAAAAAATATGTTACTATGAGTTCCCAACATTTTTCTGTGTATATGTGGATTCATATATTTTAACAAAAATAAAATCATAGTATACGTACAGCATAATATTCTTTTTCTGTTACGTTATACAAAAGTTTTTCCATTTTCTCCAGGTCATCATATAGATGCACAGTAATTTATCCAATCTTAATTCTTGAAAATTTATGATTTTTTACTATTATAAACAGTGCTTCTATGAACAATTTTGTAATAAAGCATTGTCTTACAGTTTTCTTAGAAGTGGAATTTCTGGGCTAAAGAACATACAGAGTTTTAGTGCTTTTTGAAATTCTTTTTCAAATACCCTGTATGAAAGTTTGTCCCATTTTATATTCCAGTTAGCAAACCAGAATGCCTATTTCCCTAGTCTTTAACACAATTGATATTACCATTCTCCTAATCTGTTAAAAGTAGTATTTGTTTATTATAAAGAAGTGGATGTACTGCTGATTTTATAGTTAATTAGAAGGCCAAATGACATCAGGGAAAGTAATAAATAAACTTTTCAAAATTTGTTAAAAACTATCTCTCTGTCCTCATTGCTTAGGTCACAGCTAGAGGATTTTGTTTGTTTGTTTGTTTGTTTAGAGCAGTTTTAGATTATAATGGAGAACAACAAGAAAAACAGAAATCTTAAAATTTGTTTTCTAAATAAACTTCAAAACAGGTTTAAGAAAAGGAAAGGCCAGGGGAACATAGCCCAAAGTTTTCAACTAGGAAAAAGTATTGCACTAATAGAAATCAATGACTTCCTAAAAGAATTAAGCAAAACAATGGTAACTGATGTTTCCTCGGTTGCTTGGAGGAAGGTAATCCAGCATTTGACAGAACGATCTCAGTTTCTTTAAAACTATAGCTTCAGGAAGACTTTTTTTATTCCTTGGCAGGCTGCAGGCACAGACATTGACCACCTGAGTAACTTTAAGTGGCGAAGTAAATTTCTATGAAGCCCCACAGAAGGCGAAAGGACAGACAGTGCAAATCCTTGTATAGGTTGAGGCGCGCGTGCTTTAGAGCTATTAGGGAGATTTCTGGGTTTTGAGAATATAATCAGGTGTGGATGCTGCTGTATGAATAAGAAAGTCTAAAGAAAGCATACTAGACTTAATACAGCATTGAGAAAGTCAGCTTTCCATCTGATTTTCATATATCATGTATTTCTATTTACCCAACTGGATTTATTTCTGATCTGGTTTCTGAGTTTGTACTATTTTAATTTCTCCGACATTAATTATCTCTCCAGATGAGTAAATTCTGTGGCTGAAAAAGTCTGGGAAACAAAAAGGGATGCTTTCATTAGTGCTCACGAGTGAGAATTTAAGGCAAAAATCCTTAGAGATTTAAAACACACACACACTCTTGATATAAGCTTATTAATGTACTTTACTAAAGAGGCTTTATTATTAAGAGATTAATCTCATTTTCTAGAAAATAAATTCTAATTGTTTTTTTAAAAAATTCCCTCTATCCCTTCCCTATAAAGAAGATGCATATGATTTTAAAAATTAATTTTAAAGAAAATGTATTATAAGCTTTGCCTTTTTTAAAATGTGGTATTTATAATGTAAAGCATAACCATCTAAAATGACTCTTTTAAATAAGAAAAGAATTATTTTTTATGATGTAGGGCCTATGTTCGTTTAATGCAGCTAAATGGCCATCTAATTCTGTCTAATGAACCTTTATGACTATTATAGACTATACATGTTGGGGCTATTGATGCCATCGCCTCAAAATACTCAATATTTGTCCACTCAGGCCTTAGTAAATAGTTGTTTTAATTCATTTTTTAAAATATTGACATGAACATATCTACCAGGCTTCCATTTTTTTGGTGTATTTGATTTATGTGTCCTCTTTATTTAAATTAGATGTTTTATAGATACCATTTTAAATCTAATTTTCTTGTTGGAAATAAACATACTATGCCTTTCTTACTTCAACCAATAGAACAGATAAAGAAACTTTTTCCCTAAAGGTATTCCTTGGATAATCAGCACTCAGTAGTAAATAAATAAAACAGGCTATTGACCCCTCTCTCTCACCTATTAAACATTCAGTTTTTCATTCACTCATTCCTCTCCCATTGCAACAAATGTTATTGTCTGCTTTCAGAAGCACAGCACAGTCTTAATTGTTATAGGGATATAGAGATGCATATTATGAGTGTATTTATGGAGAGGAAACCATGAATCTGTATACCTCTTCTTTACATTGTTATTTTAAAATGTTTAATATCTCAAGACATATTTATTAAATGAATATATTGCCACATATGACTATTATTGCAAATTAAAACAAAAACATCAAATGCCAGAATATTACATTACCTTATTTGATTGAAACACTTTAATACTTTTAAAAGTTATGAAAACATCTTAAAATAACTATTATTGTCTATTTCTTTATAGACAGATGCTTCTCCATTGGTTTTTTTTTTCTTGTTTTCTATATAATTTTTGTCCTTTATTTACATTATTTTTCTATATATTATCTTTTCATATTGTTAGGAAATATTTCCAGGTTTCCTACCTTTTGTAAATTCTATCCAAAATCTTAAGGTAAGATTTATTGTAATCTTGAATTAGAGACCTCTTCCAAACATCCTACATTCCATAGCTTACTAGCCATTCCTTTGCATGTACTTGTCTTTATATAAACATTTTTTAATACCTTAATTCTGTTATTTCCTTTTCTTCCCTATTAGAACAAATAACATATAAAAGCATTATTAAATGTTAGTTATAGTCTAAGCTGCTCCCATGGGCTTTCCCACTAATATTTAATTATAAGATGACATCCATTAATTTTTCTTTAATAACCCTTAATAGCACTAATAAAAGGGAGAATTGACAATAACTGTTGGGTTTTTTTATATGTGACATTGAAAACAAAGTTAAAGATTTATTTTTGCATTTTTAAATAGTTAAGCAGGAAGTCATTCATTGAAAAAGGTAAGTATTCAGTTACTTGACAATCTTGAGTTTAATCACATCTCAGTATTGGGTCACATGGTTTAGTAAGTTCATGGCACATGGTAAGTACTCAAAAAATATTTGTAGAATTAATAGTTATGAATTTTTCCCCATATCTAAGTTATTCCATAGTTCAATTTTCCTATCTTTCTTTATATACCGTCTAGGCCTCAGTGAAGGATCTGTCAACACAATAGACTTTATGCCAACATTGCAATAAAAAAAATCAAAAGTAACTAATTTCATATCAAATGTCAAATTGATTTTTGTTTCAGGTAGACCAAGATCATTTTGCTCCACTGAGCTCATAAAATGTATTATTAGTGCTTTTACGAGCATGAAAGTCAGCTGATAACAAAATGTGTCCCTTGATCATATTCGCTGTTCATTCAGAAGAGCCATTATGGGAGGAGCTAAAGCTTTGCAATCTTGGGCTTTCATTCCTTTGCTTTCTCTAATTAACTAAGTTAGCGATCAATCATTTATTCCACAGTTATATACTGAGTGACACTGGATGCCAGACCCTGCATTAGGCTAGAGTAAAAAAGACATATAGGGATTTGTATATGGGGAGAAAAAAAAGACAATTAAGTGGAGGATACAGTGTGTAGTGCGTTTTAGATAACTATTTGAGCTCAGGTTGTTAACGGCGTCACAGAGAAGTATTCTCAAAATGTGGTCCCTAGACTAACAATACTAGATTCACTGGGAAACTTATTAAAAATACAAATTTTCAGCCTCCATCCTGGATCTACTGAGCCAGAAAGTTTGAAGGTGGCACCCAGTAGTCCACGTTTTCACAGGCCCACCAGCTGGTTCCAGTGTACACAAAAATTTGAGAACGACTGTCATAGACTTCCGGGTTAGAAAAAGCTTCTGGGCCAGAGAAGACTGTGCCTGAGCTGAGCTCCAAAGGGGGCCTTATCCAGGGGAAAATGCTGCAGGCAGAAGAGGGTAGCCTTCACAAGACGGGAAAGGGAGAAAGGGGCAGGAGGCATGATAGTATTTTGTGCCAATCTCTGTGCTAGGCATGTCATAGACTATCTCTGTTGTCCCCCAAACCATGGGAAGGATGTGTGATGACTCCTCAGATGATGGTGTAACAGTGGAGAGGTTAAAAACAAAAGAAACAGAAAAAGAGGTGCCCGAGGTTGCATAGCTAGTACGTGTTAGAACCGGAATCTGTGACCAGTCCTGCCCGCCTCCATAGCCAGAAAACCTTCCTCCCTCTGCTGTGTCACTTGTCATCAGAGACAAGGTCTGTGATCATCGAGGGAGATGCTGTAATTTAAAGCTATTTGTAAGTGCCAAAAAATCATATTAAATATGTTTTTGATTACTTTGGCATTTTTAGTAGATAAGAAATCGATGAAAACTTGGGATATTTTGACTAATTTATAAAATTTAGGAAATCTAGTGGCCATGTTGCCAGGGTCTAGAAATATCACCTTAAAAAAGATGTGTTTTCTGTTCACATGGAGCTTGTCAACACTGAATAGTATTTTTCAATAATATATACAAGTAGTCCGATGTGGCTATAACTGTAGCTTCTTGAATTTGGTCAAAATCAATCCAACCAGAATAGTCCTCTGGGTTACCAATGGCCTTGGATTAAGAAGAAACTGGAAGGCTATGTTTCTATCACCATTTCAGCTATTGTACTTGGGACATTCCCTTCTTGTAGACATTTTCTTAAATTAGTGTTTCTTGAAAAACAAAATGGAGATAATTTCAGTATTCCAATATAATTAAGGTATTTTTTATAGAATTGACTCTTATTTTTTACTCTTCAACAGGGGTGAGAATGGAGAGAGAGAAAATTTTTCAGAGACAATTGAAACTTATTAAAATTAAGTCTGTTCTAAAATTAGTCAGGCATTAATCAGCAATTAAATAAATGCACAGTTACTAATCAGATTGTAATATCTGCTGGTTTCTAGAGAGAAGACAGGCTAATTTTGAAGGAAATGAAAGTTTGGATAGAACAGTTTGAAAGAGATTTGACGAGGGCACAGATGACGGAATCAAATTTGCAGGATAAATATCAGGTAACGAATGAAAAAGAGATTTCAATTTTTCAAAAGCTTTTCATAAGTAAGATTCATATATGTCATTTAATCTATGTTTACTCTCTCAAATGATATTAATGAACGAAGTCTTTAGGGGAATAATGTTCAGTACCTTAAGTTTGCTTGTGATTTAATCATTGTGTTTCTGTGTAAATAAGCAGTTTTACGTTGTATTGTCCACACTATTTATGGAGCTCTGAGACTTCATGACTTTTTCAAAACTTTGAGTCTTACAAATGACCCAGGACACAAACTTCTAGTTATTGTTTTTGTAGAATTCATGGTTTTGTAGATGTCCCATAACAAAAACAATAACAAAATCAATAAAAAGACTTCGGTGCCAAATTCAAAACTACTATTGAAAAAGCTGAATTTAATAAAGAGTGCACCAGGAATATTTGGGGCGGGTCCATTAATAGGTTCAGTTTCACTGTGACCTGCCTCGTCCAACACTATTGAATTCAAGTAGACGCCAGGGTTGTTTTGTGGTGGTTGTGGTTTTGTTGTCGTTTTCCCCAGTCTCATTACACGGTCGTTAATTGGATTTTGGCCGCCAGTTTCCACTTCCAAGATAAAATCATATAATGGGTTTTCCCATTAAAGTATGATTTATTCTTTGCAGCACTGCCATTTCCCCTTATTTAAAATAGCATTGCATTTTAGTAGTAAAACTATAATATATCCTTATCTATATTATATTTCAATCATTTTTGCTACCAAAAGAAGGTACCGTGATGTGAGAGATTCAACATGGCAAACAATAAGAGATATAGCTATTGCATTCGTGTGTGATTTTATATAATCGTATCTATAAAGTGTGCTGGAATTTAGATGGATGATGCCATCAATATTATATCTGGTGAATGTGGCAAAGTAGTCAATATGTGATTATATGTAGTATTTCCTTTTTGCTTTGAAATTTGATGTAATCATTTCTTCCCCCCAAAATACAGTTTTCTGGGATGAGCTCCATTTAAAAAAAAAATTATTAAACCAGAACATTGAGAATAGAAATGCAAGGACAGAGTGAATACATTTATTTAGTCCATTAGGGAGTTTTAGTTTTAGTATAAATTGTCAAAAAATAAATTGCAAGTTATAAAGTTACCTGTTGTACAGATGTTATTTTATAAGAGGGAACCAAAGCATTAGAAAAGTACAAAATGGAAACACTCCTTTCAGGCCAAATATGATCACCAGTTTCTTAAAATCAGGGTAGAAACCATCAGAAATCAAAATAGAGGGAACATTTTATTTTGTCTGTGGGTTAATTGTGTCATCAACATTTTCTGTCTGCTTCTATTTTTCAATCAAATTGTGTATTTCCAAAGTTTTCCATTCATAGGATTCTGTGGAATAAAATTGAAGATTGATTTTATATTTTGGTATTTTTTAATTACATTAAGTTAGAGGGAATGAAAAGATAACTGTTACAATATTTACTCACCATCGCCCCCCAGTGTTCTTCATGAGGATTTGCATGTTTGTTTATTCAGAAATCCTTTTAGATGTGGTGTTGTCTGTTAGATTCTGTAGGGCCATTCTTATGTTCTCTAACATGATAACTGCACATATCAGTGATATTTTCAATTTATATTTAGACATAGAGTCATATTTTAGGATGTGTTGATTTAATATAAAATGTAGAAGTTCTTGTCAGGAGAGATGATACATGGAAAGCCTAAGCATGTGGCCAGGCTCATCGTCAGGGCTGATGAATGGGAGCTGCTTTTTGTATCATGACTGTCATTATTATTATCAACAACATACACTGAATGCTATCCAAATATAAAGGATTGTTATTTAGGAAACATGGTTTCCTTTGCTTTTGCTTTTTTTGACTCATTGCCACGTCGTTGCTATTTTTCCTCTTTTAGTCATTCAGGCACTTCAGAGTTCAATATGAAATGAAAAGGAAACAGATTGAACATTTAATACAACCTTTATATAGAGACGGTAAATTGTCACTTGACCAAGCCTTGGTAAAACAGTCCTGGGATAGAGTGTCCTCCAGGGTAAGTTGTCCCACGATTAACTTCATTGGGGCTTAACGTAATTTAGTCAAGAATATTTTCCATCATCCTTTTCTACATGGCAAGGTTGTATCAGGTTCTCCTGCCTCTGTCTGAGGTGAGAAAGGCTTGCCTGTGGGAAAATCTTTGCTCTCTTATCAAGTTTTCCTTTAAGTTAAGGGAAATGCTTGTGTAACAACATTTTTCTTGACTTTCCTGCCCTACGCCTGGTATTACCATTGATCAGATGATAGAGTGAAATCCTGGAAGACCTTCTGGATTATTTCTCACCTGACATACATTAATTCTGGATTGTTTGGGATTGGAGCATCCACAACTTCTCCATATTTCATAACCATGATTCATCACTGGTTAATAAACTTCCTACATTCACATTCATTTCTTTTTTTTAACTTAACCACATCTTTTTATCTGGTCTTTCATGAATCTGAAGGAAAACTGCTCAGTAACTTTAATATTAATACTTTGCAAATTTAAAGACCAAGATTTCAAAACCTCTGAAATGTCTGTCACTAATGGGAATATTTGCATTCAATGTACCCTATTTTCTTCATTTTTCTAATCTATTTTTTCCCCATAAACTCTATCAAAGAATAGCTTAGTTTCCAAACATCTCAACCCATCTCACTTGGCATTCCAATAGGCTGGGAAATAGTGCTTGAGAATTGAATAAAGTGAAAGAAATGGAGAGGCAGTTAGGGAATTATATTATTATAGAAAGAATCCTAAATACTTGTCTTCCTCCAGAGATGTCTAAATGACTCTGATTTTTCTGGACCCATTCTCCTCATGTAGGAGATTTTAAGGAATGCACATCAGCTGGTATATAACTCTTGCATCCTTGATCATGTTAGCAAATCCAATCCCTTCCAGCAAAAGCTTTATGCTATTACTATAAGAAGAAAATGGCTTAAGGTCCCAGTAATATCCTTCTATGTCTAAAATGTATTTTAAGTTTTCTCAAAATTTGCTTTTAACTCTAATTTCCTCCCCATTCTCAAAGCATTAAATTCAGAACACAGATAATTTCTTTGATATTTACTAGATTAATCTGAAGTTATTAACTTAAAGACTTAGGGTATAAAACGATTTGGGGGAAATTTAGGAATTGCCTTCTGTATCAGAGATATTTCATTTTTCTACTTTTGTATTTCAGCTATTCGATTGGCATATACAGCTTGATAAGTCTCTTCCAGCACCTCTGGGTACCATAGGCGCCTGGTTATACAGAGCAGAGGTGGCCCTGAGGGAGGAAATAACCATTCAGCAGGTCCACGAGGAAACGGCCAACACTATACAACGGAAACGTGAACAACACAAGGTAAACATTCTGGTCAGAAAACCTTCCAGCAAACCAGTCCCGTGTGGACTGGAGATGTGGCCTATTTAAAATTCACGCTGACTCTGGCTTTCCAGGCATCCATTCATACTGATTCAGAGATGTCACACCTTCTTAGAAGTTTTCAGATCTGTACTTCCTTTTCCTGTACTTGTTAATGCAGTCAGCACCAGTACATTTATTTCCTGAGATGTTTTCCAGTAGCTTTGTGGTATTTTTTTCACTCGAAGTTCTCTTTGTTATTTCTGTTGCTACATATTATTTTTCAAAAGATACGCCTACAGACAATATGCATTTGCATAATAATGTGATTGGTCATTGGCTCCAGATCTCATTCCGGCCTCCATTCTCAATGGAAGACAAGCCAAGTAGCCAAGTTCTTATGTTCTGGTGCCACAGAGTGGGGTTGGGGTGGGGAGTGATGGTCTTAAGAAATGGTGGGATTAGGCCTTGATGACATCTTAGTCATTTGAGACTTTTTTCAGCTTATTGCACAATTAGTGTGCTTAGCATAAGGTCTCGTATACTTCCTCTGTGTGTTTTGTGATAGGTCAGATCTAAGTAAAAATGCCATTTTTCATTAACATCACATTAACACAATTCTGCATTTTGTGCAATTTGCGTACCTCATTAACGGTCTCATGGTGGGGGTTTACTGTATATGTGGAGAACAAACTGACAAGCAGAGGTTTCTCCTCTTGAGCACATATGGCCAATTTATAGCTCATATATATATTTCTACCAAATTATTGATATTTTTAAAACTACCCCAAGGAAGTAGTCTGTTATATATTCCAGACTAGATAGATATAAAGAAAATTCAAGATAGATTTTGTTTCACGTCCTTCTGGGATCTTATTTTTGGAACTAGAGATATAGAGTTGCCGTGCAATTTCAGCTTCTGGCCCTTTCCGCTCCACTCACTCATCCCAGACGAGCTCAGCAAGCAAGACTGACGAGATTTTGGGATCCTAGGCATTTAGTGCGGGTCCTTCCTCCGTTTGTTCTTGGCCCTTCTTCGTTTATAATCAGTACCTTCAAACAGTTTAGCCGAGTATTTCTTAGCTTGGCCTCTTTCTTCTCCATCACCATCCACACACACAGAACACACAGAACACACAGAACTCTCTAGAATCTGCCTCGCAGATGGGAGCATGTCTTTGGAGCCTGCTTCATCTTTAGATACACACACATAAAATCCAGGCCTGCTGGCCTATACTTTAGTTCTCTGAAGGTGAGGGTTAAGAGATCAAGTCAGAGAGATTTTCCCGGGGCTGAACCAAGTCAAGATTTCTCATAAGCATGAGAGAGCCTGGGCCATGTCCATGTTGAAAGTCCCAGGATATTACAAAACAGGAAAAAAATGCTAAAGCAGGGCTATACAAATAATACCACTTTAACAAATTAGTAATTCACTGTGAATACCGTCTCATAATTTTTCTTCATGTAAATCATGTAATGGTTGTGAATATTTCATACAGAAGTCATCTTAGGGTTTTAAATCAAATGTAGAATGTACAGCGATTATGGGTTAGATATGTCCATTCAGCAAATATGCTACTATGTGCCAGTTTTTGGCACTGGGCAGCTGGTGAAGGTGCTTCCAATCTAGAGCTTTGAGAAACAGCCTGTGTTTGTTGTTGATCTAACAGACTTAAGTATGATTGAAGTGCTTCACCATAGAGAAAATGTCTTACAATATTAGCTGTGTTATTTACTAGAGAATGAGATTTAGCAAATATTAATTCATGGTGCCCTGTAGCCAACACCAGCCCCTGATGGGGAATAAGTCTAAATTGGATAATGTGCATGCTGACCGTGTGTCTCAGCGATTCTATGATTCAAGGCTCGTCCTGACACTTCTGGCTCCCTGGAGTGAGAGACCCCACGCCAGTCACTAAGTGTGCAGCCAGAAATGAAGTGGAGTGGGGAGAAGGCGAGGGGTTGGAGTCAGAGATGATGGTTATCTGAGACTGAAAACCAGAAGGGACTGGACTGCATGCTAGGGAATGCAAAGAGAAGATGACAGGAAGCGAGCCAAGGCAGGTAGGGGCTAAGACCAAGTTCAAGGCAAATCTCTAGAATGGTCTTTTCACTGAGGTAGGAATGTTTACTAGGTCTGGGCACCAGTACTTAAAGTAGTAGAGTTATAAAACGATGTAATTGTCAATTGTAAGATCAATTTTTATTTATTCAAAATATATTTATTAGGTGCCTATAATAAGCTAAGCTTTGGTGATGTGAGAAATTTGAGTCGTGGTTAAGGTAACTAAAATTCTAGATTTCCTCATTAACAGAAAAAGCAGCCCATCAATTTGGTTTCACTACTTTCTTCTGATATATTGGGCTTACTTTGAAAATGCAATAAATTAATAAAGCACAATAGAAGAGTCATCAATACATGAGCCAGAATGTTTGAGAATATCTTCCCATCCCAGTCTAAAAATAATTATGGCTCATGTCATGAAAAGTTAAATATGCTATTAAGATCTAGAATTCTTTCTGCATTTTCCCCATCTTTTTAAAAAATATACTACATGACAATCTTTCATTACTTAATACATAAGCAGTTTTTAAAAATGGAATTCAGATAAATTTTAAAATATATTTTTTCATGAAGTTCACTTTATGCGTGGGTCTACCAATGTTTTTCATTATTTTTTAAAAATTAACTTACATGTAGATAGCAATATACTTATTTTGGAAAAAAGGAACACCTCTATTATGTTTTCTGTTTTTCAGATACCCTACTGCTCAGTTACCTAGAAAGATCACAACAATCACAGCTAACTATAACTGAGATTTAGCCATGTTTCAGTCCTAAGTACTTAATTTTGCTAAGCACTTGACATTCAGGATATTAATAGGTATTATTCTCATTTCGCAAATAAGTAACCTTTAGGCAGAGAAAGGTCATGTGCCTTGCCCAAGGTCACATAGCTGATTCTCCAAGTTTTCTTTTTAGGCACTAAGCTTTAAATGTGCCCACAAAACTATTGTGTGTGATACATGTAGAGTGATTAAACTTAGTTTTTATTAGTAGTATTGTTTGACAAAGCAAGGCTTTCGGTCTTAAGAAATCACGACAGTCGTCATTCAGACTCTACCCATCCTTACCGCAGTTAGCAGTCCAGCTGGATCACTTTCCTCCCTTTCTTGAAGACTTTATTTCCGGGATGACAACACATGCCGTTATTCTTAATAACTTCACTAACTCATAGATGAGCTTCCCAATATCCTGGCCTCTCAGTTTCTTGACCTCTTCTCTCCCAGTGATCACTGCGTAGGCACAGACTGGAACTTGTTATCGCCAGTAACCGGAACCCTCCACACTCTCTTCCTCAAGCATCTCACTGGCCAACCAAACTTCCCCAACTCCAAATCTTCATTTCCTCTGTGCCCTATATTCGATCGATCCTACTGCCATTCCACTGCCTCGCATCCTTTCTACACCATCCGTTCCCCTTGTACTCTGCTTAAATCCAATGCTCAGTCATTAAAGTCACCCCTTGTCCATGTCTCACTTTGCTCTACTCTCCTGGTTAAAACACAGCCCTAGTTAAAACCAACTCTCTGCCTGCTTCCTGCCTAAATGGACGCAGCTGACAAGGGCTAGAGATAAACACCCTCCCAGGCATGATGACTAACCCCAGTGGGCCCTTAATGCTGCCTGGTATTCCAAAGGCATTTCCCGAGGCCATTTCCACTTCATTTCTGGGACAACTCTTTTATACCTTGTCTCCTCAAGCCTTCCACACCTCCTCCCCTATCCTTACTCTTAGCTGATGACACTGCTTCCTATTTCTCTGAGAAAATAGAAGCAGTCAAAAAAGAATTTCCATCAGCCCCCACTATCACCTCAGCCCACCTACATGCATCTGTGCCAAATACTCCATCCTCAGTTCTGTTACTATGGATGAACCATCTGCTCTGAGCTAAGGCCACCCCTGCCACACATGCACTGGGTCCCACCCTCCCTGCTCTTTTCCAAAGGACAATTCTTGTAGGCCTTTCCTTCTTATTTTTTTCTCTCTCTGCTGGATTTCCCCCTTCTGTATAAAGTAGGCTGTTATTTCTCTCATCTCAAAAGTCTCTTTCTTAACCATACTTCCCCTTCCAGCTAGTGTTCATTTTCTCTTTCCTTTTACCACAGCAAAGCTCTTTGAAAGAGTTGTCTATGCTTTCATTTTGGTTTCAAATTTCTCTTCCCCCATTCTTCCCAGAACCCATTGCAATCAAGTTTTTCCTAGCAATACTGTCCTTCTCAAGGACAGTTATCTTTGATCTTCACTCAATGGCTGATTCTCAGTCCTCATGTTACTTCTCCTAGCAGAATCGTTTTACGTAATTATTCCTCCATCCTTGAAACTCTTTCTTCGTTTGGTTTCCTAGTTTTTCTCCTATCTCTAGCTGTGCCTTTCTAATCTTTCTTAGTCTTTCCACAAATATTTATCCTGTGAAAAGCAGTGTTCTCGCCATTTGTGATGCACCCTATAAACAAAACAGACAAAAATCCCTACCCTTATATAACTTACCTGATAGTGGGACAAGGAAGATACGAAATAGTAAACTTAATAGATAGGTGTTAGACTAGAAGGTAAAAAGGCAGAAAGTATTAGATAGTGTTACAATTTTAAATAGGGTAGTCAGTGAAAAGATGACATCAAACAGGCAAGCACATTCTCACCTTTGCCCTTGCCATCATTCTGGAATGTTCTCTCCCCTTCACCTGAAACATTCTGCCACTGATCTTCCCATTATGTGCTTCTTCATCTCCTTTGGGCCTTTATCGAAAAGTCACCTCTTAGTCAATACATTCTTGGCCACCCCTTTGAAATTACAACCCTTTCCCCGCTTCCTTATTAAAATTTTCTCTTAAGCATTTATCTTCATCCTAACTACTACTTTAATTATTTATCTTATTTATTGCTTGACATTTTACACTGTTATTGTCAACTCCATAAGGGCAAGGATTATTGTTTGTTTTTTCACTCTTATATCCTCAGCTCCTAAAAATGGTTTTAGAAGTATTCGGGCTTCCAAATTTTTAAGTGGGTCAGTATTGCATATTCATACTTCCTAAGAATGTGTCCATTTGACCAAGTTTTCAAGATTATTGGCATAAAATTGTTCAAAATATTCTCTTTTATATTTTTGGTAATCTTTTCTGTGCCTATAGCTAAGCCCCTATTTTTACGTAATGTTTCTTTACACCTTCTCACTTAACTGCATTTTGGGCATTGTTGATTTCCTCTGTCATATCCTAATCATCTTTGCCCATCAGTTTTCTTCCCAGAAGAATTATATTATCACTTTTTTAAATACTGTCACTCTAGCTGCTGTGTGAGAATAGATGGAGTTAGGGATAAAAGGTAAGAACCAATTAATCAGTCTAAATAATCCAGGTAGTGACAAAAATCAGGATGGTAGCGGTAGAGATGATAAGCATTGGTCAAAGTCTGAATATATTTTGAGGACAGTGAAGATTTTCAGCATTAGATATTGATTGTGAAGAAAGAGGAATCACACATGACACTATTGATTTGTGGACTGAGCAATTGGAAAATGATGTTTTCATCAGTTAAGATGGAAAATCAATGAAGCAGGTTTGAAAGGAAAGATCAAAAGTTCAATTTGGGGCATAGTAAGTATGAGACCTTTTTGCATTCAAGTGGATATACGCAATGGAGTAAGAAAAAGAAACAAGCTTAAGACAGGGGGATAGGCTAGAGATAAATATTCAGAATCATTGGCATAAAGAAGGATTTCTAAAGCTTTGAGACTAGAGAAATTAAATAAAGAAATGTAGACAAGGAAGAAAAAAGGATCAAGAACTGAGCCCTGAGGGAATCCAATGTGAGGAGATCAAAGAGAAGATGAACCAACCAAAGACTGTGAGAAAGAACAGTCAGTGAGGGAGGGAATCCAGTTACTGCGTTGTCTTAGAAGTCAAGGGAGGCCGTGTATCAGGGCAGGGTATGTTCAGTAGAATGGCCATGATGATCTTTTTAAAATGCAGTTGAGTTCATTTCACCCTTCTGCTCCAAACTCTCCACTGTCTTCCATCTACTCAAAATAAACACCAAAAATTCTTAAAAAGGCCCATGAGGCCCACCGATCTGCAGCCCCTTCTCCTCCTGTTCCCTCTCCCACCCCTAACATGCCATATGCCATCCCAGTTGTCCCCTTCGCTCTATCTCAGTCCCCGGGAGAGGTATGTCGTTAACTCCCACTGCCATGGGAATTTGTCAGTTTCTCCCTGAAATTCGTTAAGTTTTTGTTTTATATATTATGAGGCTTACTGAGTATGTTCAAGTTCAAACTTAATATATCTTCTGGTAAATAGAAAGTTTCATTATTAAAGAGTTAATAATAATTTCTGTTATGAAATCTATATTGTCTGATATTAATATACTTATACGAGCTTCTTTTCAGTAGTATTTGCCTGCCTGTTGTTTTCCACTCCATTAATTTTAACCTATCCATGTTCTTAATGTTTAGGTGAATCTCTTGTAAGAAGTAGTTGGTTCTGTTTTATTTGGTTCTATTTTATTAGTTTGTCTGATCTGACAATCTCTGCCTTTTAATTAGTGAATTTACATTCTGTTCTCATTTATTTATAATTATTGATATAGTTGTATTCATTTCTACCTTCTGACTCTTTGCTTTTTATTTATCTTATTTACTTACTTTCCTCCCCTACCTTCTTGCTATTTATAAGTTGATTTGAGGGGTTTTTATTTGTTTGTTCATTTGTTTGCTTATTTTTCTCATTCCGTTTGTTTGTATTTCTCATTCTTGGTTTGAATGGTTGTATAGTGTGGTTATCCTTGAAATTATGTCATAGATACTTAACAAAATTGGAATGGTTAGCTTGTATCCTGCGTTTGGCGATTTTTGCACTCTTCCTCCTGTTTGCATTTGCTATCAACGAGGCCCACGTCAGTCCTCCTCGAAGGTTCTGGCTAAGTGTAGGCATCTCTGCTTCAGTATTATTCTCACCTTATTTAAGTTCTAAGACAAAAATCTCCTGCAGCAAAGGTAGAGTAGATATTTGCTTGGGGCAATCAGCTTTTTCACTTTGTTTGTGCTCACAGGTCTGGGGTCCAGTTCAGAGTCATGCTTTACTGAGAGTGGGAGACCTAAAAGATTTCACTTATTCCCCGTGAGCTCACCAGTGGAAGTGCAATGCCATGCTCAGCATCTGGCTGGTTCATGGCGAGACCGCCTTTCCAGCGGACCTAGTGACATCATGCCGGCTGTAGTTCTATCATATGTTTCTGTTTTGATATCTTGCCAAGATTATTTTTTTTTAATGAACTAAATGTTTAAAACTACAATAGGGAAAGCTTCTTAGAAGGCAAATGAACTTTTAGGTGTTCCAACACAGCCACAGGCTCACCCATGTGTTAGCACATAGTGGCACGCACACAGCCGAGCTGGGTGTGATGCTGTTCTGAGTTCGCCCTGCAGTCACCTCGGGAAGTCTCAGCCAACATCGGTCACCATAGCAATGTGTCTGGGTGACAGAAAGGAGGCGGACATTGACTAAAATATGCACAGTCAGTAGCCGCTCCAGGACAGTCCTCTGTCCTCCTGACCAGCTTGGCTGCACGAAGTGCCCTCTTTATGGGCAAGAGTGACTTGTGAGTATCTGTGCAGTTACCTAGAGATTTAAAGCAGCTCAAAATGTAGTTCATAGCAAAATATAACAGGGCATAAACAGTTTGGCCCTGGCTTTTTTACAATGTAAAATATAATGGCACCCCACCCCCCGACAATTAATTTCAATTATCTGAACAAACATGTTTGACTTTAACTTTTTAATTAATATGAAAGCCTTCATTTTTTTCCTTTTATCAAGTGTTTCTCATATGGCTTTAGGATGATTTTTGCTTTTATTTTCTCCAATTCACTAAATCCTCATGTGAGAGAAACAATATTAATTTAAATGCATCATTCTGGTGGGCTAATGTGTCTTACTTTTCAGTGAGTGATAAACTGTTGCGTATTTATTCTGCTACTGAGAAACAAATTAAGGTCTAGAAAATATGACAGGAATCTCCTTCCACCTCTCTCTTGGCTAGGACTTGTGAAATTCATGTAAGTTTTTATGTAAATAAGTCTGTTGACAGTGAAAAACTCAGAAAACAAATCAAGGGAGATTCAAATTAATCTAAATAAATTACTCAAATTGCCAAGGTCAATACAGTCTACAAAAATATTTATAAACTTCACACATGATATCTGTGGGGCATTCCTTGTGCTGTGCTTGACTGAACTCTTCTAAGGGTATTTTCATAATACATGGTAATATAATTGACTTTCTTTAGCTAGCAAGCAAATATCACTTTATGAAAGTCTGCATGCATTCAAAATGAAATAAAAATAGAGTCTAATTTTTTTTTACCATTAAAGGGTTAAATTAGTTGGGCTTAGTTTTAAGCTTTTAAAAAGCAACCTATCAAAAATTCAAGGAAGGAGAAAAATTCCAATCCATCGAGCTGTGTGTGATGCTGTTCTGAGTTCGCCCTGCAGTCACCTCGGGAAGTCTCAGCCAACATCGGTCACCATAGCAATGTGTCTGGGTGACAGAAAGGAGGCGGACATTGACTAAAATATGCACAGTCATTAGCAGCTCTAGGACAGTCCTCTGTCCTCCTGACCAGCTTGGCTGCACGAAGTGCCCTCTTTATGGGCAAGAGTGACTTGTGAGTATCTGTGCAGTTACCTAGAGATTTAAAGCAGCTCAAAACGTAGTTCATAGCAAAATATAACAGGGCATAAACAGTTTGGCCCTGGCTTTTTTACAATGTAAAATATAATGGCACCCCACCCCCCGACAATTAATTTCAATTATCTGAACAAACACGTTTGACTTTAACTTTTTAATTAATATGAAAGCCTTCATTTTTTTTCCTTTTATCAAGTGTTTCTCATATGGCTTTAGGATGATTTTTGCTTTTATTTTCTCCAATTCACTAAATCCTCATGTGAGAGAAACAATATTAATTTAAATGCATCATTCTGGTGGGCTAATGTGTCTTACTTTTCAGTGAGTGATAAACTGTTGCGTATTTATTCTGCTACTGAGAAACAAATTAAGGTCTAGAAAATATGACAGGAATCTCCTTCCACCTCTCTCTTGGCTAGGACTTGTGAAATTCATGTAAGTTTTTATGTAAATAAGTCTGTTGACAGTGAAAAACTCAGAAAACAAATCAAGGGAGATTCAAATTAATCTAAATAAATTACTCAAATTGCCAAGGTCAATACAGTCTACAAAAATATTTATAAACTTCACATATGATATCTGTGGGGCATTCCTTGTGCTGTGCTTGACTGAACTCTTCTAAGGGTATTTTCATAATACATGGTAATATAATTGACTTTCTTTAGCTAGCAAGCAAATATCACTTTATGAAAGTCTGCATGCATTCAAAATGAAATAAAAATAGAGTCTAATTTTTTTTTACCATTAAAGGGTTAAATTAGTTGGGCTTAGTTTTAAGCTTTTAAAAAGCAACCTATCAAAAATTCAAGGAAGGAGAAAAATTCCAATCCATTGTTTATAGCGGTAATTACATTTTCCTTTGGACCATGTACCTTTAAAATGTGTTAATGCATCGCTGTGCAAGTGTCATGTGTGTTTAAAGATGCCATAATTATTAAATGTGGCTCTAGCACGGGGCCTTAGAGACAAGCCCCGGGCTCCTGTACAAGGTAAAAGCCGTTGATAGGCACCAAGCCACATATGGATGTGGCAGCAGGATCAAATTGTTGAATACACTGACTCATCGGTACAGGCTGAAAATTATGCTTCTTAGCCTCCTATGAACATGTTGCCACATTTTTTTATTTTTTTTAAATTGTATCTCAGGATCTGCTTCAAAACACAGATGCCCACAAAAGAGCCTTCCATGAAATCTACCGGACCAGGTCTGTCAACGGGATCCCAGTGCCACATGACCAATTAGAGGACATGGCTGAGAGGTAAGAGAACGTCTGGCTTTAAATGAAGTCTCTCTTTTTAAAATGCTTGGTGGTGCTTTTCTCTTTGCTTTTCTTTTTAATAAATTGATTTTTTTCTTACAGAAATGCTTACATTTGATACAATAAATTTGAGCTCCTGTAACACATGCTTAAGAATGCTACCATCCTAATATAGTATTAATTGAAAAGAGTAAGCACGAATGTACCCAGAGCCTGGAAATCACAGAAATGGTTTCTTCAGAGGCTGTATTTTTATTCAGTACTGAGAGGAACATTATGTAATATTGCAAAAACAGCTTATAAAAGAAACAGATGAGAGATGCGTTGGCAGAGGAAAGAACTAAATCAAAAACTTCAATCAATAATGATTTGCCTTTAAACCCAGAACTAGAAAAGGAATCAGATCTCCAAATAGTGGTTGATCAGCCAGAGTTTAGAAGAGCTCGTGATGGCATAACAGGTTAAGTAAGCAATGTTCTGTTACCATTAGTTACATTCTGTAAATTCTCGGTGTTTTATTTCTAGGTTTCATTTTGTTTCCTCCACATCAGAACTACACTTAATGAAAATGGAATTTCTAGAATTAAAGTACCGTCTGCTCTCACTGCTGGTTCTTGCAGAGTCAAAGCTGAAGTCTTGGATCATCAAGTATGGGAGGAGAGAGTCGGTGGAGCTGCTTCTGCAAAACTACATCGTAAGTCCCCCTGATGCTTTGACAGAGGAATGAGAGGACCTGTGAATTTAGCCTTTAATATCCAGCAGTTAATCCGACACTGGCATTTTAATGCTGAATTTAAATAGGAAGATACCAGCGCGTTAAATGGGTTTGATAGGTTTGTGAGCTTTTCACCACAATCTGAAATACACAACTATATTCTTTGGAAATATAGAAGGTTTTGCCACATTAATCATACTGAATCACTGTGGCTGACTTGATAGCTTAAAAAAAAAGTTTTTGCATGGCATACCCACACTGTGATTGTGAGCTCACCCTTGAAACAGAGTTAAAACACTTAAAGATTATCTTCATGTCTTCTAAAATCCAATCACAAGTAGTTTAGAACAATTGTCAATTATTCTAAACTATTTTTTTAGATTTTGTCCAGCATGTATTCTCTGAGCTTCATTGCTACTTGTGTGCACTCAGGATAAGTAAAATTTTGTCTTGTAAGTCCCTGTATCAATTTTATTTTTAAAAATCATCTTATATTTTGGGTTATCAGCATCGATAATCCTGCATGTACATAGAACAGTTGCCCTGTATTAATAAAAGGATTAGGTTGTTCTGTAATTAGCAGTTTCCATTTACATGTAATTAGATAATTATAATTATTAAAGGCAGTTTATTTCTCTTAGTTAACCACATACCCCCCCAAATTTATTAGCAATACAAATTTGCTTGCAAAATTACTATCGTTATTGCATTTCAGTCCTGTATTATTTCATTTATGTTTAAGCAAAAATTCTAAATGATAAATTAATAAATTTAAAATATAAGCCCATTTCTATTCTGACCAGTCACAGAGACTCTGTAACAGGTGTGATTGAATACTTATTTAAACCATGTCCTTACCGAGGCATCCTAGAACCATAATGTATTTTGCTACATTTTAATTTCATTTACTAAGTGATAAATGAACATGCATTTCAAAAAAAAAAAAAGATTTGATAAGTTTATAGTAAAATTTCTCTCTAGATTTACTTCAGTCATCTCAGAAACAATTGTCCAAAAATGTGAAATCTGGTTTTTGTTCCCTTATTCATTTTTAATTATTTTGGAGTGTAATGCAAAATCCGAATTTTTAAGTTCCAGCGATTACATTAGTCTTTTAAATATTAAATATAGATATGCATTTATATTTTCGGGTTTAGTCATATCAAATGATACACTCTGAGCTCAGTAGATAATCATGCGAATCCATCTTTGTTGTAGCTATTTAAGGATGGCCAATCAGACTGAAATGCACCAGGTTAATATTGCAACACAATGATTTTATTAATTCTCTTTGAACTTCTCAAAGATAGGATATGTAAGTAGAGAGTTGGTACTAATGGAAGGAAAAAAAAAAGTATATTCTGCCTACTCCATAAAGGAAAGAGAAGTTCACCAAACTGTTAAACTCTTCCTTAACTCAAAATTATTTGTAAAATTTCTACTTACTCTACAAATATAGCAGGTTTTAATGAACATTTCCTAATATTCTTATCGCCTGGTGAAAAATACCTATTTATTGCTCATGTTTCATTTCCAAACAGGATTTTCAGGTATTTTTTTGTTCAGTAGTTTGAATATTGGAGGATATTGAATGTTTCTCATGTGCTAAGTCTTTTGTATGGTTCATCTTCCATCCCAGGGATGACCCCGTGGGCTGGGCATTTTCATATTATTTTACTGAGGAAATGGAGTCTTTGAGCTCAGGTCACATGCCCTGATGGCCCAGTTGATAAGAAGCAGGAGTCAGAATTTGAATCCACATCTTTCTGACTCAAAAGCCCTATGCTTAAGTTCTGAACTTTGCTGTCTAACAAAATTAGCTGTGAAAAAGATTTAAAAAAAAAAAACCAAAACTTAAAAGACTAAATCATTAAAATGATCTCTTGTAGCTTAGTAAACTAAAGAACATAGCTCACATTAACTCATTAATTCCATTGAATGTTGGTCCATATTTGACAATATTTTACACTTCAGTACTCTAGCCTGAAAGTTGCTGTTATTCCTGTTACAGGCAGGATGGTATCAGGGCAGAGTAGGTGAGGTGGAGGAGATGATGGAGGCCTGGCCACTGGTCACATGGCTCAACTACTTACCACTCATGTGACTTTATAAATGATTTAATTTCTAGAAGACTTAGTCTTTCCCAAACTTAACAACAACAACAAACAGCAATAATAGAATAACAGGGATTTTTCTCAGGAATAAAGACTGATACATATTGTTTTTCTTCTATCTCATACTCCATAGAGCCCCTCTCATCCTTTTTGAGTTTTCAAGGAAATCACTCTCTTTAGAATAGACTATTTCAAAGAGCATGGTAATTTTCAAATGAAATCATAAATCAGTTTCTTAAATGCAATCCTTCGCTTGGTTTCTAAAAAAAAATTATTGTAATGAGCCATATGCTGCTACATCATTTAATGACCAAAGTAATATTCAGGATATAAAGGTTCTATAATTATCTTTTCCTTAGTCTGAACTCTCAATTCGATCTTATTCATCTGAAAAAAAAGATACTTTTTTTTTAAGAGTTAGAGAATTAGATAATGTACTTCCTACTACTTTTTGTACAAGGTGCTATGATATGCAGTTGATAAGTTCTTAAAGAATTCTTGAAAAATACTTTACAAATGCTTACTAATTAACTTAGGCCACTTGCTACTGATAAGAGATTACATACTGTCATGTAAATCAGAACATGATCAGTTTGGTTCATCCTGTCAGAATTGTTCTTGACATGATTGTTAGTTAACACTTGCTTCAGTTTTACTGTGGAAAAAAATATGATAACGTTTCTTTCTTTCACATAAAAGAAAAGAAGAGCTCTTGGAATTGTGGACTCTGTGAATGCAACATAAGTAATAGGAACGTTTATTTTATTATTTGTAATTATTTTATTAATGTAAATAGGCAATTCTGATGAAAACACTCGAAGTTGATTTTTAAAATCTTAAATTATCTGGTTTAGCTCCCTTTGAGTAAAATTGATGAGCTTTTTATTTATAATATCTGTATTTATCTTGTGAGAGTAGGAATATATTCTTTTCCACTAAGACTTTGAATCTAGTGACACAGAGAGGTATCTTGTTTTTCTTGAAGTGCCACCAACTTTAAAAGTCTCTTGATAACATGGCTTATTGGTTGAACTTGATAGCCAAATGTAAGCCTTATTTTGAAAGAAATAAATTAATCCTGTCACTATTTTTTTAAACATACATTTGTGTTCACTTTTGCATTCTTCTGAGAGATTGTATCTAGATATCTCATAGCAAAAAGGAGATTTAGCAGTATTACTACTAAAGTGATTCTAAGAGACAAAATAATTTATGTTACTAAATGGACTTAGTCAATATTCAGGGGAAAAAAAGAAAAGAAATGAAACAATTAAAAATTAAAATAAACAATAAGATATCTTTCTTTAAAAATTAATTGCCTAGTTTTCCTCATAGGAAAGTTCAGAAATACTTTAATGAATCCTTACAATATTTATAATATTCTTAAAACATCTATTTCTCCCTTGGACCAAAAATGAAACTGTAAATAAACTTTTCTCTTTTTAACTCATAATAAATTTATAAATTACTCTAACAAAAGCATATTTCTGACCAGTACACAATTTCCTAATTGACACTCAGAACAATCGTTTTTCCATTAGCTTCATGAAATTTGTGCCAAAACTTAATGTAGACTATTTTTTAAACTTTCCCAAATATATTTATCTCTTCAATTTCTTATGATGTCTTGAACGTTAGGTTTCATTTTCCACTTTTGATCAAATCATGACTTGCTTGTTTGGTTAAATTACTCAAAGTTTAAATGATAGTAAATTACTCTCTATTATGGGCTTACTTTATTCTCATACAAAAATAATGAAGCCTATTAAAGTTATTGAATAAAGTATCGATCATGGAACCCTTTATTCCAAGTAACTCACACCCTTCTCTCTTCACTAATTCTCTGGAGAATAGTTGATACATAAGTTAATGCTTTATACACATAAAATGATATGAAGTGTATTATATACGTAATTCAAAAATGTTACCTTGAAATATGATGAACATTTATCAATAAGGTCTAGGAATGCCTATGAAATTGCCCTATGAATAGTTTGCATCTGCACACAAGCATTCATCAGCGTGCTATTCAGAACTGCAGCTGGTTTTTGAAGACGAATTTTGGATTTTTTAATAACGACACATATCAAGTATTTTAGTGGCTTCAAATCATAAGAACTAATTATGCTATTAAAAGAAATTAAGGAGCTTTTGGTGATATGTTGTTACCTATAATTACATTAATTTTCTGCTTTAGAGAAGTAGGAATAATCTTTGAAACAGGAGTTGTTTCATAGTTCATGGAGTTAATAATAACAAAACTTACCTAAGGACTTTTTTTTGTTTCTTCTCAATTTTATACTATCCATTTGCTCATAGCAACTCTATTATATATGTAAGTTACATTCTGATCTAGGTATAGATTTGTCTTATCTGTAATTTTTATACTAGGAAATGGAAATAGGAGACCATGGATAACATGGATAGAATGTGTGATTATTTAATATTTTTCTACCTGTAAACATTTTTGTACTTACTTTTTATTTTACGAAAAGTGTTTGTGCTATGTGCCATTTATTTATAATCTGAAGTTTCTCAGAGCCATCATTCACTAGAATTACTGTTCAAATAGCAACAGAATTCCACTGCTAAAATACAGTGAGACATTTGACAATATTCTTCCAAATTTAATACTTTCTCAATGTTAACTCCAAGTTTTCTGGGGCAACTTCTAATAACAAACCTTTGGGTGGAGAAGAAATAAAATACTATTGTGAATTAAAATAAAAAGCATGGAAACAATGAAAATTTCAGAATAATCAAGTTATTTATGGCCGTTGAATTAATTGATATTTTTAAGAAGAGCAAGGTTGGTAAATTCGGGTAATATATCCACATACTGAAGAAAACTGACTTTGGTATTTCAACATAAGCCAGTATTTGTTATCTTCTAACCATTCTCCCTTTTCTAGGCCTTTATAGAAAACAGCAAGTTCTTCGAACAATATGAAGTGACATACCAGATCTTGAAAGAGACGGCTGAGATGTACGTCAAAGCTGATGGTTCAGGTAAAACTCATGTCAGAATCCGTTGCCATGTTGAATACAGTACGATCAAATCATTTTTTTCTCTGTGGAATGTATGTGTGACCATGCCACTGGAGAAAACATTGGATTCACTCCCCCTGGCTGTGCAGCACCTAGCCTGCATAATCGTACATGTGTGTGTATGTGTTTGTGTGATATTCTAAGGGAGAGCAAAATAAGCATTCATTTTCTAAATTGCAATTATCCGACCTATTTTCAATTCAAATTGCAATTATCCGACCTATTTTCAATTCAAATTGCAATTATCCGACCTATTTTCAATTCAAATTGCAATTATCCGACCTATTTTCAATTCAAATTGCAATTATCCGACCTATTTTCAATTCAAAAATCGACTAACTTGAATATTTTTAAATAAATGAAAACTTCAGTTAGTGTAAAGACACAAGTTGTAAAATATGTTTGTTTCAATTTGTAAATATGCCACGTTTGCTTAAAATGAACTCTAGCATCGTGACCAGTACTCTACATGTGTCTATCTACCAAGTGTATCTCGAATGTGAAAAAATATATCATTTATTGCATCTCATCTATCAAGAACTTTAAACATATATCATATTTCATCTTTATAAGTACCTGCGAATAAGGTACAACACATTCCCAGCATTCACTGAATTAAATTCTAACATGGCATCTGTTAAATTTATGATCTAAAGAAGAATTATAAGTGCACCCCCACGTATAGGCCCTAGAAAAAATTGGTATGGCGGATTTAGGATATGCAAGAAGGACTGCACTTTGATCTGTTTCAGTGGAAGAAGCTGAGAATGTGATGAAATTCATGAGTGAAACCACCGCGCAGTGGAGGAACCTCTCAGTAGAGGTGAGAAGTGTGCGGAGCATGCTGGAAGAAGTAATCGCCAGCTGGGACCGATATGGCGATACCGTGGCTAGTCTTCAGGCCTGGCTAGAGGATGCTGAAAAAATGCTGAATCAATCAGAACATGCCAAAAAGGTAAGATTCCTTCTTACGAAAGGAAACAAGCACACGTCCATTTAAAAATAAGAGACTTTCACAGCGTAGTTCTCTGGGGAGTGTTATATATTTGCAGATTTGATTCAAGAATCTTGACTTTGCCTGCACTGTTGCACTTTCAGGTTATTAAATTATTTTAGACTAAGAAATACATTGCTTTATAAAAGTTAAAAGAGTTCCCTATCTGATCAGGTCAGTTATTGATTTTGTATTCTGGAAGGGGCGGCCAAACCCAGTGGACAGCAGAGGGCGCTATACTCACAGTAAGGTCTATACTTGAGAGGGCGTGCCCAGGGCACCAGCCTCGGAGGATTTCCCAATTTAAGATGAAAATAGCTTTGGCTGGCGTAGTACTGAATCTGTGTGATGGCGTACACCAGCGGAACAGATGGGTCACCACACTTTTGTCTGTTTGGATGTTCTTTTTTGGATTTTAACAACTCTCAGTCAAGGGTCTCATTCTGAGTACGAGTGATATTTTTCCTCCTCTAATTACAATTGTATATGTGTGTGTGCAAAAGTTATTTTTACTTTAATGTCACATTAAAAATAGAATGATATAGAATGATCTCTGATTACGTATTTCTTAATGGCAGCCTGACATTTTTCCTTTTTATGTAAAAGATATTAAAAATGCCAGGCTCTCATTAAGAAGTATAGTATATGCATTAGAATTACTGCTTTCCACCAAGACTGGTTCATCTATTATTGTGTTATACAGGCAGATATATAATTTTTAAATGTTTTACTATTTTATATTTCATTTAGGTTAAATATTCTCGTGTAGCTGAGAGTGATGAGGATTATATACTCATACGGATTTGGGCTTTTCTGATTAGACCAGCAGTGCACTGCCCTAGTAGATGTCATATGTGTTAATTTCATCCAAGAAAACAAAACTGCCAGAAACAGGAGTGTTCTCATCTATTTATGGAGGAAGTCCTCCCACACATAGCTTATGAAATGGATTTTGAATTATCTTTTGTTATCCCTGGTTTTTACCGTGGTGTGTGTGTACACGCACACATGCACACAGGCACTTAACTTGAAATCAGGTGGAAACTGATTCACTGCCCATTGCGTAACCTTAAACAAGTAAGAGGATGTTATTAGAGTAAGTGTTCTTGGCCCAGATATTTAATTAAAAATTTTTTTTCTTTAATAATTTATCTCCACTTGTTAATATCTTGATGTACCGTATTCAGATTTTAAAATCAGAAGTAACAGGTCAAACATTTGTTTACAATTTTTTTAAGGTGGCTCTATGTTTTCCTAAAATAGTATGTCTTTTATATGATTCCGGCACTGGTATTTACTAGCCTGAAGACTATGTATGTACAAGTCCCTTACACTCAGTTATTTCATTTACAAAATAACAGAAAATGGTTACTTTTATCAGAAATTCAGTTATTTCATTTACAAAATAACAGAAAATGGTTACTTTTATTTTTGTCTTCAGCAAGAGATAAGGCACAGATGGTCTTATAAAAAGACATTCAGCATTTTAAGTCCTATTTTTGACCTCTTCATTAACAATTTGCGTTTTGAAAGAGATTTAGGATTTACCTTAAAATGTGCACAAATTTTGGAACAAAGATATTTCTCTTAGTCTAGTCATTTTCATACCCTTTACGAAATTTGGTTTGTGGTTTACAACAATGTGCATTGTTTATTGTTTAGGATTTCTTTCGAAATTTGCCTCATTGGATACAGCAACACACTGCTATGAACGATGCTGGCAATTTTCTAATTGAAACATGTGATGAGGTGGTTTCCCGTGATCTTAAGCAGCAATTATTATTGCTAAATGGACGATGGAGAGAGTTGTTTATGGAAGTCAAGCAAGTATGTCTTTCGGATCTAACTATGCTGAAAATGTGCATGTGTTATAAATGTGATAAACAGTCTGTTTAGAGACTGCTTTATTGTTATAGCATGAGCTTATTAAGGCAGAGCACAGATGTGTTTAAACTGTTATGTTTATGTTTGGTCCTTTATTCTTTTCTACTTATAATAGAGGGACATTACAGACATGTACAGTTTGATTAAGAATTATATTGCCATGTGAGGCCTATGTATATGGGACGATTCGTGTTTCACATCATAATTCTGCACTTCTATGCTCGTTCCTTTTTTATTTTTCGTGGTAATTGGAATCACTTCAAGTGTATCTAAAATAAGAATTGGAAATTAGAGTCTTTCGTATCATGTCACAATTCCAGAGAGTATGTAGACGTTAAGCTCATAGGCTTCCAGAGTCTTGGCCTAATGACTTTCAGTGTGGCCCTCCTCCCTTTCTTAACAGTATGCTCGAGCCGATGAGGTGGACAGAATGAAGAAAGAATACACAGACTGCATTACTACCTTGTCTGACTTTTCAACTGAAGCCCACAGGAAACTTTCTGAGCCTTTAGAAGTCTCTTTCATGAATGTCAAGTTATTAATTCAAGAGTTGGAGGTGAGGCGGTGTTTCTGGACCATAAAGTGAAAAACCTATTCTATTGTGAAAATAAAGACCAATGAAGTTATTCGGGTCACTGCCAAGCTCACTGCAAAGCTCTTTCTATGTCTCCTGGGCATCATTTTGACATGTGGGAATATCCTGACTCGCAACTCAAATTTTTAAAAAAATTATATTCAAATAAAAAAATCTGTTTGAATTTTTTAAATATGTTTTGACCATATAGTAACTTCAAAATAGTTTTTCAATTTGGAAATATTTTTCTACAACCACATTATAAAGCACTAGGAGAGAACAGGAGGCATTCATGATAACACTTCAACATAAATGCCTCCGACCATTAAGGATTTACTAAATGAATTGTGCTATTTACGCATTTTGGATACACCGCAGTTCTCAAAATGAAGTAGTGAAAGAATATTTAATAGCATAGAAAACTTTCCCAATATACTATTAAGTGAGAAGAGCAACGAAATAGTATCATCCTTTTTTTTTTAACTAAAAAATAAAAAAAGGGTGTAAACACACACAGGATAAACCATTAATGATATAATGATGGGTTGTTAGCTCTGGTTATTACTGTGTGAGAGGACTGTAAGTAATTTAAATTTCCTTTATCCTATTATCTTTGATTTATAAGTTTTCTGCAATGACAGTGTGTTATATTTTAAGAAAAAGTAGGTTATTTAATATTTAAAGCCAGAGGAATTGCCCCAAATTATTAACATGCATTTACTAATATAATGTTTGTATACTACATTAACACATATACGATGAAAGTGTGGAGCTTAGCTTTATGTTAACTTATGGATTTATGGTTACTTTTAAAGGAAAACTTTTATTTATTTATACAATATTACCAAAATATAATATATTAGTAACGAAAGAAAGCAATAACTGGAATCTCCAAAAGTTTATTATAAGTATAGAATTTTATACAGTACAAACTGATTTTTGTCTAGCCTTCTGTGGAATCCTAAAATTAAAAGGAAATGTACCATGTGTTAATTTAGCTCGTTCAATTATTCATGCAGGATATTGAGCAGAGGGTACCTGTGATGGATGCTCAATACAAAATAATCACAAAGACAGCACAGCTCATTACCAAAGAGAGCTCCCAAGAAGAAGCTAATGAAATGTTTGCAACCATGTCGGGGCTCAAAGAGCAGCTAACCAAGGTGGGACATCCTGTGCAGGACCAACACTGCCTTCTGCTGATCTACACCTCCTCATCACGTGGGCAGATTGTTTTCCTGTTAACAAATCATGCTTTTGATTCTTATTGGGGTTTTAATTTAGTAACGTTGACATTTAGCAACCTTGTTATAAGTTTAAAAAAATGAAACTATGGGCTGATATCAAATATTACTTCTGTTACTTTAAAAGTACTAGTAGCTATATTTCAACAGTGGGGACAGGGGGCCAATTAAATGTGATGAAGCAAAGAGGGGGCTAAAAGAAGAGGAGCGGGGAGGAAGAGATCGCACATTTAAATGAGAAAGAACCCCACGCGCCCTTTAATTGAGATTTCTTTGATATACCTTTACTCTAAAAGTATTTATGCTGCTTTCTGCTTGCAGTGCCACAATGCAGTGGAAAGTCTGCCTACTTCATCTCACAGAGCTCTCCATAGACTGAAAATTTACACATTTATGCCACTTCTGTGCAGGGAACTAACTCAGTAACTAACATGCATCAGCCAGCAGTCTTTTCTATCCTATTTAGGAATTTTCCTTAAGAGCTTTGGAAGTTCTACTGGGATTTTTTTTTTTTTTCATGTAAAGTTGAATTTTATGAAGATGGCATTGTTTGCACAGTCCACTTAGATTGAGTGACTCATTTATTAGGTAACTGATTTTTATGCATACGTGTTAGCAGATTCTCTTCATTTTGTTCAGAATAATTTTAGCGAAGCCTTGTTGCAGTGGATCAATAGCTTTCTTTTGATGAGATTTTCCTTCAGGCAATGTATCTGAGAGCATGAGAATATTTATAATTTAAGTGGGGCGGGCTGGGGGGAAGAATGATCTACTAACAAGTACTCAATTTTCTTTCTTCCTTGATTCCCAAAAATTTTAATAATACTTTGGGAGCTACTCTAAGTAAAGTGAGGAAGGGCAAAAAGTTCTTGGAGACTTGAGTGGTCCTGGGTTACAACCTAAAGGCGGCACTCACGTTGTAGCTCCGGTGGTCTCTAGGAACTGTTGGCCTCATGGTGAAAATAAAGACAATCCAGGTGTACAGGGTGACACCATTTTTTAAAAGACAAGTAGAAAGTGAGAGCCGGGCTGGTCCAGACTAGGGAGATGTCCCCTAGTGTGGGAACCTTGGTGAATAAATTGATATGTGACAGGAGAGCTGGGGATGAGTAGGATGTAGATGGGCAGGGAGTAGCTAAGCATGGACCTCCAGGGAGGTAGGAAGATTGTTCAACAAGTCTGCCTGGGAAGAAGAAGCTGACAAGTTTGTAAGTGTGTCTGGAGTTAAGAGTTCAAGCAGCAGAGTTCTTGAAAATAAAGTTGGAGGCATAGGTTACTCTAGATAATATAATTCATGATTATCTTACATCAGATTTCGAAGCCAAAGTGAAGATACATTGCACAGTTTATGGAGTAGAATTCGATGCCATCTGGTTCACTAACATCATTGTTTTGATGAGAAAGTGCTATTGAGGTGGACTAGATGAGATGAATTTTTATGAGATATCTCTGTGTCATCTATTTCAGTGGTATCAAAATTTAGCAATACATAGGAAATGTCATTTAAAAAATGTCTTTGGAGATCTGTAAGCACAGAATGACCATATCACTAAAGAAAATGTCCCTGAGAGCTAAGAACAGTGTCCTGAGCTTGTGGCATTTAATGGCTTTTAGTAGAATTTTTGTCTTTGTGTTTTTAAAGGTCAAAGAACGTTACTCCCCACTCCTTTATGAGTGTCAACAACTGTCGACACCGTTGGAGGATTTAGAAAAGCAGATGACGTTCTTTTATGACTCACTTGGGAAAATCAATGAAATTATGACCATCCTTGAGCATGAAGCACAATCTAGTGCTCTTTTTAAACAAAAACATCAGGTAAGAAAAAGTCCCTTTCAGGAGATATAGTTATTTTAAAGCATGTGTAATAAGATTGAGGTAGTGCTCAAAGTGATAGAAATCCATTAGGACAAAAAACATTTTTCTAGAATAGTACTAGCAACTCAAAACAAAAATAAATCTTGTCCAAAGATAAAAGCCCTATCTACTACAGATAAAATAAAAAAAGTATTTCTATATATCTATCATCTATCATCTATCTATAAGTTTATATACAGATAGATTTTATAATTTTTAAATTTTATATATTTAGATATATAGAAAAATAGGTAATTGCATTTCATTTCCATCTAGTGTTTATAAGCTGTGTCTTATGAGATCTTTTCTTCTAGGACTAGGTCTTCTTACAAAACCATAAAATTCTGGAAGTGATAGTCACTTTTATTTGTATCATTTTTAGTAAGCAGTTTATATAGAGATAGATTTTATCATTTTTAAATTTTATATATTTAGATATATAGAAAAATAGGTAATTGCATTTCATTTCCATCTAGTGTTTATAAACTGTGTCTTATGAGATCTTTTCTTCTAGGACTAAGTCTTCTTACAAAACCATAAAATTCTGGAAGTGATAGTCACTTTTATTTGTATCATTTTTAGTAAGCATCTCTGTATGCAGAACAGCCTCTTACTGAGTTGCAGTTAATTGACCTGATTAGTTAGTTTATTAGAAATGAACTGATCCATAAGAGGAGGGTGAAACTAAAGGGCGAAAGGTTTGCCTCTGCATTAATTGAAACAGAATCATAAAAGGAAGGTAGCATCACTTAGCAGAAAGAACAGAGAGTATTTGAAGTGAGTCAGACAGGTATTCGGATCTTAGGTCTGATACCACACATTGCAAAGCCTTAATTAGCTTTTATTTCCTCACTTTAAAATGGAGGTGATAATACCAGAGTTGAGAGCTTGTTGTAGAGATTACATAGTCTATAGTGTGACTAGCACACAAGATCACACATGATACGTATTCTGTAAATGATTGTGATTATTATTATTGTTGATTATAAAGACCCAATGATTATACCACCAAACCCTATTCCAATTAATATTTGTTAATATTATTCCAATGGGCTCTCATCATATTAGATAAACAGTGTTTCTCATTTGGAGTCATCGTGCCATTTCTTACATTCCCAAATTGCTATAAATTGTCATCAAAGAATCCTTCCACAATGAAAATATTTAATATTTTAATTATTATTATTGTAAATATTAATAACATTTAATAATATCTTCCTAAATCTTCACAAAGAAAAGTATGTCCTTGTTCTGTTTTGTCAAAACAAAACGATAACCCCACTCTTGATATTTACATCTAGATTACCAAAACTGATACCCAAATGAGCCTTTTCGAAACATTTTTCCAAAGCAGCTGAGGATGTTGAAATGCAAATGGTGTGGATTCAAGTCAAAAATTTACTGTCTGCCCTGGGCTGGGCTGGATAATTTCCATGCTATCAACGTCAGAAATCACTGTAATGCCAGGTTATGACTCAGAGGTGGAAAGGTCTATGTCACCATTGCTTCTCGTCCTGCAAATGTGTGACAGTTACGAGTCCTCCCAGGCCCATTGATCTGCTGCCTTTCGTGGTTAGAATCTGGGGGCCGCCATTTATTAATGAGGTTGATATAGCTCGTGAACCTTAGGAATTCAGATGTTGTACATTCTAGGACACACAAATAATACATAATCTGCTCTGTCTGACTCAGCAAGGTGTAATGTGCATTGGTGTTAAATTCGGTCAGATTAAGACGTAATATGGAGATTGACTTCACTACTGTTCACTCAGTAAATCATGGGCCTATTAGTTGGTTGGAGAAATGCAGGCACTAGACAAATAAAAATTTTGATGCTCCGTCACTCTCTGTCATTAATATTGAAAGATGGGCATGAAATATTTTTAAAATCTCAAAACATGTGACATTTAAGTGTCTTTTATATAAAAAGCCCTGACTTCAGTGATCGTTTAAAATTCTGGAAAGAAATACTTCTTTATACTTTTGATTTTACTTATTACTGGTTAAAAGCCTAACAGCTATCTAACACTGTTATTATTATTTTGTAATGTTTACTCTTTCTCATCCTTACCCTTTTAAATACCATTGTTGTGGGTTTCCTTTTCCGTAGGAACTGTTAGCTTGTCAAGAAAGCTGTAAGAAAACCATGACACAAATCGAGAAAGGCAGTCAAAGTGTTCAAAAGTTTGTGACCTCGAGCAATGTGTTAAAGCATTTTGATCAGACAAAGTTACAGAGGCAGATTGCAGATGTTCATGTTGCCTTTCAGGTAAGTTCTCTCCCCTCTTTAAAGATGTGAATGAGGGAACATATAAATTAAAAAATAAAAAAGATACCAAATCATCGCTGTTCATGCTTGCACTCTTGCTAAATACCTCACTTACTAGTGTTTGGACACCAATATTTTTACTTCCTCTTTCTCTAATGTTTAATTAATATTAAAAGGGGTTGATTATTCTCATCATAATGAAACGTATTCCTTCCAAGTGTTTTTTGGAAAGAAATAATACTTTCAATAATGAGAAAGCAGCATCACCTTATGATTGCTTTTTAAATCAAGAATATGGTAAAGAAAACTGGAGATTGGAAGAAACATGTGGAAACCAACAGTCGCCTGATGAAGAAATTTGAGGAGTCTCGAGCAGAGTTGGAGAAGGTGCTGCAGATGGCACGGGAAGGCCTGGAGGAAAAGGGGAATCCGGAAGACCTCCTGAAGAAACACACTGTGAGTTCATCCCTAGAGCTCCTTCATTATGGAATCAAGATTTTAGGATCTCCCACTGATTTTCTAGAATGTTCTGCCAAATTTGAAAACTGAAAATATTTTTTTCCTAAAAATTAAAAGTCGTAACTGAATTTCCGATGTGGTGGCATCTAACTCATACTCTAAATGATTATAGTTCATTCCTGGAAAAACAAAACCAAACAAAACAGTAGTTACCCGGCAGGTTTGAACAGCTAAGGCGCTTGTTTAGAGGCGCGACTGCTTCACCATACTGTGCCTGAAGCTGCCCTCATTCCGCCCAACACTCCTAACCATGGTACCCCTCTCCATGCCAGGAGTTTTTCAGTCAGCTGGATCAGAGGGTGCTCAATGCTTTCCTGAAAGCTTGTGACGAGCTCACCGACATTCTCCCTGAGCAGGAACAGCGAGGGCTGCAGGAAGCTGTTAGAAAGCTCCACAAACAGTGGAAGGTGAGTTGGGACATAACGGGAACACGGTGTCATGGATAATGGCAGAGAGCATGAGGGTGTCAAGGTTCGACTGCAAGAGAAATTTAGAAATTCATGGAAAGTCACCATAGCTACTTCTCCCATTAAAAAAACAAAAAAACAAAAAACTAAACTTGAATAAAACTTGATGAAATATGATATAATTTTGTTATTTCTATTTGTTAGTAATAGCAATGTTATCGCATTACTTAAAAGTACTCTTTTTCTTTCCTGATTTTCTTTTTTTGGCGGGGAGGAGACAGGAATGATGAAGGCATTTAACATATTCAGCAACATTTAGTGAACTCTTCCTATCTGAGTAAATTATGTTAGGTATACTACTGAAATTATATCCAACGTAATTTACACATATACATATTTGTCGTTTTCAAGGATTTTACCATCTGGTTTCGATTGTTATCTAAAACCATAAATTAAAACAATTATTGGTTAAGGATTCAATTCTGAACAAAACGTAATCCTTTTCCCCAGAAAGCTTAGAGTCTGGTAGGAGAGATAATTAGTCATGAATAATAAAAACGTGATATATAATAAGTCCAGAAAAGTATAAGTAATCTGTTTAGTAAAACTTCGAAAGGGGAGAGGCGGGCCCACTTGGAGATTGGAAACAAGCAAATCAAGTGATCCGTTCTGAGCTGGTAAGTTAAAGAAGCAGAGGTCTGGGAGGAGGGGGCTGAGGGTGAAGCAGTCGTAACTGGAGGAGAGAAAGCAGGAGAGTGTGACGTGGGGGATGGAGGATCCTTTCGGCTTAGTTGCACTCGAGTGTCCTGTGCTGGGCCTGTCACATGGAAGCCAGCTTCAAAATCCGCATGTCAGGGAAAACGGTTGTAACAGGATGGAGATCCCTCGAAGCCTGTCTTCCTCCAAACTGGAGGAAGCCTGCTCTGGCAACAGGTTAACAAGTGCCACCATGAGGTCATATCGAGCCGCAAATTTCATATGCATTATTCGAAGGAGTCATGCAATACATAACTCTCCAATAGGTTATGTTACTTTCTGGATTTTCATTTTTAATCTTAGTAACGTAGGCTAAAAGAAATCAGCCCTATGCATGGGAAAACCGTAGTTAAAGAAATATATCTTTTACTAACTAAATTTGAAAATTAAAAAAGAAAGTTTTAGAGAAATCTAAGCTTATAAAGATATCTTTGAAGCTTAATATGTCATAAATATAATATATCATAAATGGAATAGAATCTATAATTGAAAGCTGTATTTTGTTTTACGCATTCACCCACACACACATTAAGCTCTCTCGGATATAATGAATCCTAGTCTTTCTATAGTCTTAACTCATTTTTCTCATCAATTATCTTAGTATTTTATCTTAAAAGTAATCTTTTAAATGCTACAAGATACAAGTTAACTAAAATTAATAAATTCTTGGACTAAAGATAATGATGAAGCTTATGCTTATATCAAAAAGAACACAGAGTTTCATGTTGTTGAGAGCCGGCTTGCTCATTGTCCTAAT